GTCTCCTCTTTCCTCTGGGCTTTTGGCCCACTTTCACGTGTAGAGTAGGGCCCACTCGTGGTGGTACTTCCACCAACCCCTACACGAAGGAGGAGGAGGAGAAGATGACCACCATTCTGCAGGAGAAGAAGGAGGCCAAGAAGAAGGCCTTGAAGGAGGAGCAGGCGGCCAAACTGAAGAAGATAGAGGAAGAGATGGCCAAAGAGAAGGAGAGGATACAGAAAGAGGTGGAAGAGGAGGAAGAAGATGAAACGCCATTGCAGAGGAAGAGGGTGCAGTATAGTGGTAGTAGGGATGAAGAGATGGAGAAGCGAATCTCCGAGTGGGTCGCCAACTTATCCCTGGGCGAAGAAGAAGAAGTGGCGATGTATATCTCTAAAGATGATCAGGAAGCCGCTATRAGAGCTTGGGAAGCAGAAAGGGATGTTGTGAAGCAGCAGGCATTGGAAGACGAAAAGAGGATGGAGTGGAAGTTGGCAGTGATGAGGGAGAAGAAGAGGAGAGTGGACGCGGCAGCRGAGGCGGCAGAAGAATTAGAGGAAGTAAAGAATATAGAAGAGCAACTGGCCGCCCAGACCGAACTCCCAGCGCAAATGCGAGTCATAGCCCGAAACGTTGCACGCCTGACACGAATGCAAGCGGAGCAATATGATTTTAGTAGGAGTCAACAAATAGCTGTACGCTCCATAAAGTTGGGGTTTCGGGACTTTGCGCGTGAGCTGGTAGGCGCTATAGGGACCGAGGTGGGTCACCGCCTCGACAAGACTGAGCGGTACTGTGCCGGCGCCATTGAGGGCGTCAAAGAGGCAGCTCCCAAGGAGGAGGAGGCACGTCCTCCTCGTTGGAAACCGGTCAAAGTCAAATTCCCTGATTCCTACAGTGGAAAAAGGGAAGAGAACTTCGACAATTGGGAGGCTAATGTCAAGACCTATGTGCATCTGCAACAGGTCTCCCCGGATCAGCAGGTTCTGATTGCAATTCACGCGCTCAGAGATGAAGCCTCCAGCTTTGCAAGGTCCCTAGTTCGCGCTGCCAATTGCAGCGATGACCCTGTTGCGTACTCCTCGTTCACTTCCCTCACTGAGTTCTTGAAGCTGTTGCACGAGAGGTTCGCCGATGTCGCCCGTAGCGTTAAGGCCTCAGATAGACTGCAGACGATCCATGCTCGTAAGTGGAAGAGCGCCAGAGCACTTAAGAGTACCATGGATGAACTGGTAGCTGTCCCTGACCACGGAGTTACAGACACCCAGTTGGTTGGCCTCTTTTATCGGGCTATACCCGAAGCCCTCCGAGGGCATTTCTTCGCAAAGAGCGAAGACCCTGCCACTACATACGATTCCCATAGTCGCGAAGTAGTGACTTTTGAAGCCAAGTCTGCGTCTGTGTCCACTTTCTGGCACAAGGACTTGGACAAGGGTAAGCAATGGAAGGGCCGCACTATCTCAGGGCAAGTAAAGACCAAGGACA